CTGCCCATTTAGTTCATGCAGTTTTACATTAAAATATCTAATTTTAAATCTTTCTTAATGTTGTTCTATTTTGATATAAATGCCTGCAATTTTCACTTAAAAATCCAGATTAAAGAGGGATATTATATTCAATCTACAAAAGCACAGAAAACCCCCAAAACAAACAAAACAACAACAAATTGTAAGGGTTTTTATTATTGTACTTGCATTTTCAAATATAGCCCTATGCTTAACATGTCTTACAAAAGTTGAGATATACAGTAAAATATTAAAAATTAATTCAAAAACAAATGTACCCGGTAAAAAAAACAAAAACAAAAAAGCCAAAAAAACAACAAAAAACAAATTGCGCAAATAAGCAATTCATTTGTAATATTGTTGCATATGAAGAAACAGAGATCAGAATTTCAGCACTATGAAAAACTGCCAGGTCTCTTCCTGTTTAAAGTAAGTTCTTGCTCCCCACTGTCACTAAACACTTGCTCACAGGAAACTGTCACAGTGTAGAGGTTCTCTCTCTATTACTACCACCATGGATGGATGGATGGACTAACTATAAAAATAGTTAAGTCATTTAAAATTATTTTCCTTACAAATGTTCTAAATTAGTTTCTCATTGTTATTTGCACAGTATTTGTGTATTCAATAAGCAGCGCTATTATTTTTAAGATGTTTTGTTTTAAATGAGAAAAATCTCTGCATACAAAGACCAAGGCAAGGACTACTGAACAGCTAAAATCCTACACGCACAGTTAAAGTACAACTTTTCAACTATTTTTAACAACCAAACAGCTAATCAACAAATCACATAGCAGCTCAATGCATTTAGGTGTGTAGACATGTCAAGACAGCCTGCTAAAGGTATAACCGAGCAATAGATTGGAGAAGAAAGGTGATTTAAGTCACTTTGAGTCTGCCATGTTTATAGGCTTCAGATAAGCTAGTCTGAGTATTTCAGAATGTATTAATCTCTTGGGATTTCCCACACAATCATCTCTAGGGTTTAAAGAGACTGGTCTGAAAAAAAGAAAGTCTCCCGTGAGTGGATGAGAATACCTTACTGATGCAGGAGATGCGACAATGGCCAGATTACTTCATGCTGATAAAGAAGACAAAAGTAGCTCAAATAAGCACTTCTTACAACCAAGCAAGAAAGTGAAAAAGAGCATCTATGAACACATGAGCAGCAAAAGACCGTGCTGCTGCCCCTCCTGTCAGCTAATATTTGAAAAGTCTCTTCTAAATGGAAAAGTAAACAATTTTTGGAAATGTTGCCTGGTCTGATGAATCTCGATTTTTACTGCAACATCTGGACGGTAGGGTCAAAATCTGAAAGCAGAACATGAAAGCATAGATGCAACCTGCCTAATATCAACGGTCCAGACTAAAGCTGGTGATGTAACAGTTTGAGGCATAATTTTTTGGCACACTTTGGGCCCCTTATTACTGAGTGTTGTTTAAATGCCAGAGACTTCCTGGGTATTGTTGCTGATCGCTTTATGACCACACTGTACCTATCTTCTGATGGGTGCTACCAGCAGTAAAATACTCCATGTGATAAAGCTCAGATCATCTTAGACGGCCTTCTCAGGGTTTTCTTTATCTCACCAGGTTAAGGAGACGACCCATACGCCACAAGGTTCATGCAGCGACTGGTGACTGAATCTGCTCTGGACCGTTTGTTGCCTTCCACCTGCTCTCTTCTATTTTCCTCTCACATGATAACTGTTTCTATCATTAAAAAAGATAGAAACAGATTTGAATACATTTTCTCAGTCTAAACTTTGCACAATTTTCAACTTGACATCCATTTTCTTCTTTTTATCCGATGCAGGATTCCAAGATAGCCGGAGACTCTCCCAGATGTCATAGCACAAGAGGTGGCTGGACAAGATTCCAGTCTGTCACATGTTTAACCCACTGAGATGGACAGCTATTCCCACCTTTGCAACTATGGCTAATATAGAATGAGCAGTTAACCTAACATGCATGCGTTTGCACTGTGGGGAGAAGCTGGAGTACCTGGAGAGAATCCATAGAGATCCCGCAGTGCCTGAGCCAGCCGGTGAATTTGAATATAGGACCCACATGCTGTGAGCTGACAGAGCTAACCACTGCACCATTGTGCCACTCAAATCACTTTTCAAAGTACTGCATTCTGTGTCCAACTGTTTGTGGAAAAGTATATATTTTTTTAAAGAATGAGATATTCTTTAAGGGTCCATTTTGCTATAAGTCTCTCTTTTGTTTTTGTGTCTGGCAACAACCAGGACTGTTTCCTTTTTAGAATTCATTAGCAGCTCTGGAAGGATGTATTTGAGTATTTCCTTAGATCTCTTTTATACCACTTTGGCTTACCTACAAGCTTAATCCTGTGATGGCTTAATCCTGTAGAAGTGGGCAGAACTATCTCCAATTATTGATGAACAGCTGAAAAGGTGTGTTTTGTTGTATTAGCTATTTATCATTAAGTATTTTTTTAAGGTAAAAGTATCATTATCAGTATTGGCAATACTTGCTCTGTATTTACTTGGTACTGGATGGATATTGAAATTCACAGTATCGCACAGCACTATAATCCTGACAAGGAGACAAACCTCAGTGTTTAGCATCCTCTGTGAAACAACTCCAGAGAAAGAGAAAAACAGCAAGAACCACTCATCAAGATCAGCCAGAAATCGGTTCCTTTCTACAGCAGTGGTTGACCAAAGCAAGAAATTGGAAAAGGCAACACAAAGTCTGTAACAAAGACTACGAGTAAGTTTTTGACATAATGTGTTCCCATTACATTTAGTCTTTTCTACACTTTATGCTCAATAAAGTGTTTTATACTTTGTTAAACAATGGTGATTTTAATCCACTGTGCTGTAAAATCCAATATGACTACACATTTTAAAAATGATTCATTATTCACTGTAAAGTGATGCTTAGTTTTTATACTTCCAATTAATCCCAAACAGAATAATAGAAAATGGAAACAAGAATCTCAGGAGGATGATCTATCATCAGTTATGTAACTAATATGTGTGAAAGTTGTCATTTTCACATATATTCCAAGAACCTTCTGTTTTCATCAGCTTTACTGACCATTTCAACAGCTAACAACACTTTTTCTTTTGCCTAAAAACATTAAGTCCCTCTGGACACTGCGGTTTTCAGTGGGTGAAACATTTCATTACTTATCCAGGAATTTACTAAGGCATTTTTTTATTGCACAGTTCATTATCTAATGACGGAATGCTTTATTTCGATGCGCGTGACTCTTCTGGTCCTTCATATCTTATATATTATTAAACAGCTTATGCAGCAGGTTCACTTTAACTCGGTGTTTCTGTGATCTTTGCAGTGGCAAACTGGGGACAAAGACACCCCCCTAGCGCCATGTATCCGCACTGCACCCCCTCACGCCGAGAAGCACTGCCCCCTGTGAAATTCCTGACTGCCAGGGTGATTCCTACGGTTACCAAGGGCTGCTTCCTACTGTAGCTTACCGTGTGCTGTGTGGCAAACTATTTTATAACCTCTGGATAAATTATCAACCCCGGGAATGATATCCCCAGCGATAAAGGGTGAGTTATGATTTAATTACACCTGAGATTGTGTCGGCCATGTGTGTTCTGCAGATGTTAGTGTGCGGGCTCAGCAGTGTGTGAAGCTCAGTCTTATAGCCTATAACGTCCTGTCTTGATTCCTGTCGCCTACAAAAATGTGTGTTAGCGTGCCTACCTGTTTTTCCATACAGACAACAAAGGCAGTTATCCGCTGAATGTGTGTTTTTAGAGAAAGACTTGGGAACACGCCCTTGCTTTTTTCCTACCTGTATGAAAGGAAATATTTTTAACTTAATTTCAATACCCTTAAACTGCGGTCAGACCCACGCACAAATCCACACTCGGAAAGTTACCCGTATTTGTTCATATTTGGCCGCAGTTTGGAGTTTCTAATCGTCTCGGATCGAGTAGATATACATATTTATTACTGTCGCTCTCTCAAACACAAACTCCCAGAGCTACTGAGAGAGAGAGAGAGAAAAGTGAACTATGTTTCATACGGATGGCTGGATCCGCATAACACCGGCTGGTGCACCGCACCTCAGCTGTTAACTGTAACCTGCGGCGGCAGAGTTGTCGCGGACGGATACATAATAACACCTCTAGCCTCGAAAAGCAACCAGTAAACCGAAAAAACACCCAGTTCGCCCGCCTGTGACCACTGCAGCACGCTTTGGGTATTCAGCTCGTCGTAAATATGGGCTACAGAGGTTAGGGAGAGCAAGAGGGGGCGTCCGAGGCCACGGTAAAACCGGGGAGTTTCCTGCCACTATAGGTCCGGCTGCGTGCCGGGTCACAGGTAGAGGTTGGGCGGGTAACCTTGCTCAGCAGCTCCACCAAACCGAAACATGACTTCTGTTTAGCTAAATTGTATCACTTTCCCTCGTGTAGGCTTAGGCTAGGTGGCTTTTGCTTTCGTGTGTGACTTGCTAAAATACTCAACGAGGGGTAAAAAAAGTCTAAATTAAGTTAAGCAGGTGCTCATGTGACACGTGCAAGTTAGGTGACTTCTAATTAATAACCTGTAATGGTTTCTGTTGAGCTGCTTTCATCATCAGTGGCTGCCTGCTCTGTCTACAGGCCAGTGTGTGATTGACAGAAACTTTAATTTCCAGTGAAACACACCAGGCCATCCTTTGCCATGTTAGTTTTGACAGGTTAGCATCTAATTATCAGCTGCTGTAGTAAAAAAAAGAAAAAAAAGAAAGCTCATTACTAGATCCCAAAGACTGCAAACTGTAATAAATGATACAAAACGGAGATGAACAACAGATTTGTGGCACTTAGACTTGCTGAGGTACTTGTTAAACGACTAACCACTTGGTTAGCCTTAATAAAAAAGTTTTATTTATAATTACAGTCAGTCATAAAAAGGCTGATGTTTTCACACAGTATCTGAAATCTGTCTAAATAAAAGCTGCATGAGTGATGCAGTGAGATCCCTGACCGACATTACATTGTGACAACAGCTTCCTCTCCATAAATTATGTAAGACCCTCATCATCATAAGGACTTTATATTCACAGTGCACATGGATTCTTTTTCATTTCCTGCTCTAGAACAGTGTCTCTGGTTTCCTCAAAGCTTATCAATGGTCTGTCATATGTAAAATGTGTGCTTGACAGTGCGTCTGTGTATACAGCATATTTGGACCTAATTCTTAAGCTTGACATCAGAATTACTTCTGTAAAATAACCACGAACTCTAGGCATTGCATTAGCTGGTTAGAAATCAGTGAGCTCTGCAGAATTCCTTACATTGCAGGGGTGGTTCTGATAAACAAGAGGCTCAGCCACTTTACATGCACTGCTGCAGTATAATGTGATGTGCTGAATAGCTTCTAGTGACTCTGAGTATTTAAATAGTTACACGAGCTGTTCAAGTAGAATCATAGAGGAAACAAGGCTTTCTCTAAGAAAAATACGATTTGTGTAATCATGTTAATTTATGTCCTTCATGTGAAGGTGGACTGATTTTTTTTTTATTCTTTTTACTTTTCTACTGCTTTTAGTACAACAATAAAGATTGTGAATCTGTGTGAAATGATTTTTTTAAAAGTATCCTGGGATTTTCACATCCAGTGGTTGAAATAATAAAATATTTAAAATGTAGTTAATAATTCATAGTGACATTTTGAGACTTATTGTCACTATTCCGCCTGGAAGAAAACAATCCACAGACAATACTGTAGTTATTTATGAGTCCTTCCATTTCTTAGATAGGTTTAAACCTCTAAACGACTTTTGGGGAAAGCTTATGGTTTGTGTCAAATTAGTCCCTTTCGCAATGATAACCATGTTTTGAAAAGCTTATCTTGCTTATCTTGCTGACTGAAAGCCCTGAAGGCAAACCTCTCATATGTGTGGTCTTTTTTTCCCCTTGTCTTACAAAGCCATGACATCACAAAGAGGTAACTGATCAGTTTAAACGATTGTCCTGGAGCAACGTCAGATACAGAGGTAACCAGATGAAGTGTAAACAGAAACGCCTTTTGTAGTGACTGTTCGCGTTTACAACAGCTTTTTTAAAGTGTGAGACAAAATGGGGTTGAAGAGGATCCTAAACTGGATATATGTAAAGTCACACATCAGTGAGGCTTGTGTTTCCGAAGATTAGCATAACATCTGATTTTCATTCTGCATAATGGGAATTATTTTGCTTTGACAGGATAAAACGAAGAAGTTCACTACTACTTCATAACCTATTGAAACGTTTTTTTTCGATCGGCATATTAATGTAGGGAAGCACTTTGAAAACAGAGGTTTTTTTTAAAAGGGCTGCTTCCTGTTAAAAAGCAGGGAGCAGTTGCCAATAGCTAATTTGTGTAATTCAAGATGTAAATAGTTTTTAAAAATTCTTTTAAAGTAGGATTGGGCACTTCATTCATTCCCACAGCATGTCTTTATCATGTCTTCTTCCTCTCACCCCAACTGGTCACGGCAGATGGCCCCGCCCCTCCACGAGCCTGGTTCTGCCGGATGTTTCTTCCTTTTGAAAGGAAGTTTTTCCTTCCCACTGTCGCCGAAGTGCTTGCTCATAGTAGGGGTGGGGGAAAAAATCGATACTGTGTAGTAT